TGTCTGAAAAAAGTTTTGATTGGAACACATATGATACGAACATGCTGAATCGAGAATCCACTCTCCGTCAGGCCTAATACTACGTAAACATCACATCTCCGCCGTCTGAGAAATCCTCAACTACATTTGTTTCGTTTGAAATCAAAGGTTGCGCTCCATGATTTGCAGCTAAATTACCTTTAGCCTGCAACTTATTGTAATCATTCCCAATATGTCCCTTACGTCCATAATAGAAACAAAAAAAAAATTGTTGTTATTCTTCGATCTGCCCCCCGTCAACCACCATGAGATACAAGAGTTTCCTCATCTCTCGATATAGCTCCAACTAAATGCCTCAACTTTTTCTTTGAGTGCAAAGTATCATAGATGTCGTCTATAGTCAAAGAATCCCAACTATACAAAATGGTGTCCCAAAACGACGCATAAGAGCCAAGTAGCGAACATAAAAAGATCAAGGCAATATCCTCTTCATCGAACTTAACCTCCAACGTCTCCAAATTTGGAACAATTTTCTTGAACACGACAATATGGTCTTCCAATGACCATCCTTTCGTCGTGCGAAAGGAATACAACTTCCGCTTTAGAGCCAGTTTACTGGTAAGACTCTTGGTCATACATAATTCTCTAGTTTCAATCACAAAGTAGCTACTCTTCTTCAAGACATTCTTTAGAATATTGTTGGAGAGATGAAGATGAATCAACGACAAAGCCTTCCAATCACTCCGTTGTCTAATTAGTTAGCATCTTTTCAAAACCCAACAGCACATCACCCAAATCCAACTACGTCAAAATAACCCTCATCTTTACTTGCCACGAAGAAAATCTTGTATTGCGATCCAGCAGTAAAATATCATACTTCATGGTAGTCGTCTCTGAAAAAAATCTAAACAAATCCACAGAAAAAGAATCAAGCTCTGATACCACTTATTGGACCCAGAAGGATTGTAGTGAATAAAATTAACGACGCGATATGAAGAAACAAAGATCACAACGAGAAACAAAATTTAAAAGTAAAGAAATTAACAAAGAGAATCAATTGCAAAAGCACAACGTTTTATTAATCGATATTATGGAGAGAAATACAAGAACTTAGCAATTCTTACTTGAACAAAACTAAAAGAGAAGACCACTATTTATAGGTACATGGCATAGCATGAAGATGGAAATAATGTGGAATAAAGAAATAATATATTTTCATAAAAATCACGTGAAATATAAGGAAAACAATTTTTTCCTTCAATTCCAAAACGATCCACCCTAATTTGGGTCACAATTCCAACAAAATCCACCACATGAAAAAAAAAAAATTAGACGGCCCTATCTGCCCCCAGGGCACATCTCCAAGTGGTAAAAGGGGAGGGTGGAGAAATCCAGCTTTACTTGACGCTGCTGCGTCAAGGGTTCGAATCCTGAAATATGGATTTGGCTCTTGGGTAAGTGCAAGTGTACAAGCAGCCTTCCACCCTGT